GTGAACTATTTCGGGACTACCGCACCTCCCCCGAAAGCACGGGGGGGGGGTATGCGTGAACCTCGGTTCGCGTGGACAGTGTATGCATGGAGGTGGTAGGTTCAGGGGGCTTCACTATAGTTAAACTACACACATAGTATGCCTTTAAAGTTACATGCGTAGGCTTTCCACGCGTGGAATAAGTTATGAACCCATGTGGCTCCTGGTTTCGCGTGGACGTCTTGTCGCAGGAAATTTTGTCACGGGGATATTATTTTTTTGGACATAATGTCGTGGGATGTTCTGTCGTGGGAAATTTTTTTTTGGACGTTCTGTCTGACTACCATCAATCTATTACTGAAAAGAAAGCTGTAGTTTTTATGTAAACTCTTTCAAGCAGAGGGTAACGCAGCTGATGAACAGTACAGATAACATAACTGAATACAAATCTTAATTATTATAACATAATGATATTAATAATTAAGATTTTTATTCAGTTCGTTATCTATACTGTTCATTAGCTGTGTTACCCTCTGCTCTAATGCTAAAACTGAGTGTATATTTTTTTATATACAGGGTGATCCGAAACTATCGTTTGTCCTTAAAATGTCGTATTCCTGACTTAATTTTGAGACGATTTTTCCTTTACCAAAACTTTGTCCGAAGCTTAGTTTTTGAGTTATTACTTAAAGAAATAGTCAGCGAATCACGAAACGAGTACGGAAGGTAGGCAGGGGCGGCGCGACTCACCGTCCGACGCGGGTGATTATGTGGGGTGCTCGCTGCGATCGGTGCTCGGTGCTTGCTACAAGCGATGGATGTACGCGTACACACACACACACACACACACACACACACACACACACACAATTACTCACTCATACTACGTTTACGCGAGCGTTACTTCTGTAGTAACTTACGATGAGTGAGTCCACGCGGCGCCCACGCGACGCGCATCGCGCGACGCGCGAAACTCGCTATTCGTCGCGGGTCGCGGGGAGGGGATACCGACCCCCGCGAAGATCGCATAAATAGGATGAAGCGATCGACACTGGAATCAATAATCCCTCGATTATTAGAAGCGTTAAGAGGACGATATGGCAGTACGATACACAAACGAAGAATATTACGACATGCTGATGGCACTTGGCGAGTGTCACGGGCAGTATTACGTAGCTGCAAGACGGTACGCCGAATTGTATCCAAATCGAGCAAGACATCCGTCGGCTCCCGTCATACTTCGAGCAGCTCAAAGATTACACGAGACTGGCAATGTCCTTCCGAACATGCACGACACTGGGAGAGATCGCGAGGTGAGAGATTTGCGGGGCATGGAGCAAGTTGTACGTGTTTTCGAGCTTAATCCTGAAACGAGTATTCGGGAGGTTGCTCGAGAACACAATTTATTCTATGGAACTGTACAAAAAGTACTCAAAGAAGAAAAGTTGCACGCATTTCACTACACACGCGTGCAACATTTGGAACCAGGAGATCATCATGCAAGAAGAACGTTCTGCGAAAATTTTCTGAGAAAGTAGATCGAGATCCCAGATTCTCTTCTCGTGTGATATTCAGCGATGAATCATTCTTCACACGAGAAGGGCATTTTAATTCGCATAATATGCATTTTTGGAGCGATGAAAATCCCACAGTTACGCGAACCAGAAGCTTCCAAACTCGCTGGAAAATAAATCTGTGGGCTGGAATAATGGGAACTCAAATACTTGGTCTGATTGTTCTTCCGGATATTTTAACTGGCCAAACATACTTGGAACTTTTAAGAAAAATCTGGATTTTTTAGAAGAAGTTCTATTATTAGAGAGAAACAAGATTATGTTTCAACAAGACGGTGCTGGGCCACACGCAACGCCAGAATTGTAAAGGTGGAAGCACATAAAATTGCAGGAGCCATAAGCAAAAGGCAGAAGCCATATGCGCATGCGCTATGGTATCTGTAGAGCTCTTCAGATACCGTAGCGCATGCGCATATGGCTTCTGCATTCTGCTCATGGCTTCTGCAATTTTATGTGCTTCCACCTTAACAAATTACTTGAATGAGCACTTTCCTGGACGCTGGATGGGTCGGTACGGTCCGATATGTTGGCCCGCAAGATCTCCGGATCTCAATCCTTTAGATTTTTTTTTATGGGGATATTGTAAGGAAAAAGTTTATAAAACGCTTCCCCAGGATGTCGACGATTTAGATACAAAATTGCGACATGCTATTTGGGCCATCGACGAAGAAATGATGGAGAACGTTGAAAGAAATTTATTAAAACGCCTGAGAGCTTGCGTTAGAATGGATGGTGATCATTTTAAGCACCAGTTATAAAATTTTTTTGACTTCAAACCAATTCGCTTTTCTCAGAGCGACCAAAGATAATCCGCTCTTTTCAGAGCAACCAACACATTTCTACGTGAAACATCTTGTAATCGCAGCATTAGCTACACGTTTTTGTAAGTACCGCGGAGGTTTCAGTCAAACACAAAACACGTGTCTTGCGCCAATCACGCGTAAAGCTCCTTGCACAATAGGCGATAGCGATAGCGATAGCGACAGCGACAAAGGTGCCAACAAAGCTGTACCTTTGTCGGCAACTGTCTATCGGCTATTGTGCAAAGGGCTTTAGAGTTATAATGATGCCGTACCCAACGTAATCAATTAAATGCAGTAAACTAACAATAAGCTGAATCCTAATTATTTTATATTGTTTAGTTCTCACGCGTTTATCACGGATTGGTTAAAAATTTTCGTCGAAACATAATATATTCCCAGCTAATCCCTCATTAACGCCGCAGCGAAAACGAAACGTGCGCATTCAGTAGCTTCAAACTGTAATGATACTTTCAACAAAAAGAAAAAACCACAGATCGTGCCGCCCGCGCCGGCGAAACCATAGTTGCAGACACACCTTGCGGTCGCGAGAATATCAGGGTGTGACGAGGATAAACGGTAGTCAGCGTATGCCTGTGTCTATTTTGAATAGTCATTACTATGATTGTGTGCTGCAACTGCAGGTTAAGACGCTCAGTAGAGCATTAACCTATGCTGTCAATGCTTCGAAAAGAGGAGTAGAAAGAATCGCATACTTTTGACAACTTGTTTTTTTTT